GTAGTCCCTGCCTCAGTGCCCATTTAACTTAGCACAGTAGGGAGCCTGAAAATATAGACAGTAAAATTCTCCTTTCATAATGGATGAATTAATTTAGCCAGCCTAGTTAATTCAAATGCAAATTATGTGTTGAAAGTGTCCATTATTTATTGCTACATCTGAGACTGTTTCTCTGTTTCTCTCCTTAATTTCTGAAGTGCAGCAGAGAAGTGCTGAGCCACTAAACGCTCCCTTAGACACCAGCCAATTTTAGTACATTTTCAAATGACGTTTGATTTTTATTCTCTGCTTTAAACCTCATTTTGGGATTGTTTATTTGCTTTGACTTGTTCGTGGTTTCCAGCTGTGGAGCATTTCTGTTGCCAAGCGTTTCATTTTCAAGCGAGCGGTTGGATGTCAGCGGGAGGAACACCTCATCCCAGCTGGATGACCATTGCCAGTTGCATCCTATACTGTCCTTCAGGTTATGCTGGAAAGCAACTGTGTGATCCTGTTCTGTGTGAGTGTTTGCACACGGAATTGCACGTATATGTACACACAAATGTACTGCCATATGTAGGAGTCCTCCTGAATATTTTCCTTAGGGCAATAGTGTTTGGTGTTCCTCCTCCCACCAATTAATTTCATGACGTGGGAAACTTTTGTGGCTGTATTTTGAGTAAGGACAACAACCACCTGAGATTTTCTACCTTCACAGGAGGATGATATCCTTTCCTGGAGGTCCAGCGGTCCTGCAGTGTCAGTGCCAGTGCCAGAGTAATCCCAGGCACTGTCCATACAAGACCACCCAAGGTAATAAACATCTTATTTGAGAAAAACATAAGAAAATGAAGGTAGAGACAGAACAAAAGAAAATAATGGGATATGTGAAGGTTGTGTTATGGTGGTGTTTCTAGGGGTTTGTTTATTAGTGTTCAAAATCTCTCTTTGGGATTATTGAACCATAATCATAGAATCATTTAGGTCAGAATATACCTCTAAGATCATTGTGTCCAACTATAAACCCAGCACTTTCAAGCCCACCACTAAACCACATCCCTAAAGCACCATGTCTACACATCTATTAAATACCTCCAGGGGTGGTGACTCAGCCACTTCCCTGGGTGTCCTGTTTCAGTGCTTGGCACTCTTTCAGTTAGGAGAAATTTTTCCTAATATCCAATTTAAACATCCCCTGGAGCAATTTGAGGCCATTTCTTATTACTTGGGAGAAAATAATTATCAAGTGGAGGGCAGCTCTTGTTTTACCAGTGTCCCCTGCAGAGCAAAGGTTCCCATTTGTGTCAAAGGAAGGTGGCATTGTTGGTACCATCAACCAATGACTCAGGGGGAATCCACTTCAGACATCTAACAAAAGATGCTGGAGGACTCCCACCAAAAATAGGTAGTGGCCAAGTAGGAAATTGGACTGCAATTTTGTAGAGTAGATGATGATTAAATTGTTTTGTATTGAACAGCAAGTAAAATCCATTTCCATTCACACTGTGCCCATAATTTTCTCTTCCATGTAGAAGGGAGAAAATGCTGTTATTTTCACCTGGTCAGACAAATGAAGCAGAATGGCCAGACACCCTTGCAAGGACTGCCGAATTGTTTCTTTTCACATGAAGAACACTTTTTGCTAGACATAGCTCTCCATTTTCCTTCAACATTCTCCAAAACTTCTGCTTGAAATGGTTGAGGGAAGCACTATGATCCTTTCCCTCACAAAGGTGAGGAATGATTCTTCATTTAAGATCCTGAACAAAACTCCCGGTTTCACTGGCTTTCCCGTCTGGAGATGCCAAAAGCCTGAGGACCCAACCGGGAGCCATGTATGTCCTGTGAGCTCTACAAAGCAACTTGGAGAAGAGAGCCTGAAATATCATTTATTTTCCCCCACTTATGTTCCTTTGAGTAGAGAGAGCCTTTTCTTTCAAGCAGCATCTTTCTACCCTGTGAACATCATCCAGATCCGATGACAAGGGTCAAGCTGTGCATGTTATGTTGCTACATGTCCTCCCTTAGTTCTTGTCTTGGATATGTTTCCCTGGCACCAATGTTGTTAAGTGGTTTCTATTCTGCTGGCAAGCACTGGGAAAACATGCAGTCTTAGACATGCATCTGGGAGAGGAGGATATGAAAGAAAGGAAGACTGAGAACTTTGCTTTGTGCTCTTCAGGCGCCCTGATGTTTCCAAATAACTTGGATAGTGTGGCCTCTTAGAATGTAATCGCAAAAACATCCCTGATGGTAAAAGCATTTTTTTTTTAATATTCCCCTCATGATCATTTTCTACCCGTTTCTTAAATTGGTTGATAATTGTATTCCTACAATGAACATTTGGGATTATTTTTCTTTATGTGCAGTCTTTTTGCTCTATTCCAAACTTGCTTGTACATAAAAAGATTTTATTTTCTTAGAGAGGTTTTAGTCCAGATTTAGCCTTTGTACTGTAGCAGCAGCCTTGCTTGAGCACTACAGGTCCTTACAAATTTGATAATTATATATCAATTTAGCTTAGCACATAGTTCGCAGACATATATCATCTGTTGCTTGCAGCCTTAGCTCAGCTGGTGAGTCACAAGGCAGGGAGAAGCACTCAAAAAAGAAAGTGCTGTCCATCAGCCATCCCAAGTCTTGTCTGTGCATGGGGATGCTTAGCAAGAGATGTCCCTGAATCCTTTCCTATGCACAGATCTCTTGGTTCAGGATGGGGCAAAGAAGCATCTGCTCTATCAGTTTCAATTTGAGCCAAGTTCAAAGGAAACCTTCTTACAAAATATCTTAATTTAGGTGGAATATGGCTGCTGCAATTTAAATTTATATGCTACCTCAAACCGAATTAATTTTCAAGTGTAGACAAGCTTTAAGCACTTGGAGGCTGACTTTTAATTAGTGAAGCTCTGACAGCACTACCACAGAGCTAGTTTAACTTAATGACAGAAGATAAACTTCATTAAGTTTTCCAAGCAACATAAGAAAATGCAAATAAGGCAGAGCCCCTTAAAGGGCTTGTGACTCCTTCTGTAGTTTTTATTACTGATGTGATTTTCAGTCATAATCCCATCATCTCTGCCTCATTATTGTCTGTGTCAGCTGCATTCCCAACTTGGCACTGTACCCAAATATTTGACTGGTACAGCAGTGCCTCTCTGTGAAGATGGCAGGAGGGGATGCTGGTTTTGGGAATGATGTAGAGCTGTGGTCCTGAGCAGTCCTGTAGGGTTTTCCACCATATCTGTGTGAGATGGTGCAGGCAGAGTCTGGCTTTCTGCTTTTCAAGACACAGACCCTGCTGTGTAGCCATACGCCAAGAAGCAGAGTAGCTACTGTAGCTGGTGTGACCCCATCCCTCAGAAAACACCTATTTCCCAAAGATATATATGTTACCTTGGAGGATTTATGTTACGTTATCATATCATTTTCCTTCTGCTGGGAATATGAGCAAAATAGGCTTGGTTTTGCCTCTGAATGGTATTGAGCTCTCAGACGTCTTTGTTTTCTGTGTTAATCAGCAGTTCAGTGGTTTATTCCTGAAAACTGGAGTGGCTACAGTGATCCGGGGAAGGATGAGGTTGCAAATCACATACAGCCAAACCAGGGCATCACCCCAGCCTGGAGATTAAACACTGCTGGCAACTTTCTGCAGCTCTGAGACAGTTTTTCTTTTCAATTCCTTATCTGGATCTGGTCAGTGACTTATTTCTCCTCTGCTCATACACAACAGGTTTTGACATGACAACAAACAAACAAAAAAAAGCCCCATCAAGAAACACAAGAAATATAGTGACAAATATGTTTTTTATTTAGTGGAAGGCAGCAGATTCTTACTGATATTTCCCCACCTTCACTGTACTCCCTGGACTGCTATGAAAGCCAGCATCAAACTTCTGGAGCTAGCCCAGCTCCTGGGAAAACTGGGCCTAGAAGAAAAATCGATGTTGGGGAATGAGAAGGAAGGAGATTTAGAGGAAATAAAGTCGGTTTGTTATTAGAAATAAGTGGAGGAGAGTAGAAGGAGATAATGCGTTTGTTTAACAATGATTTTATTACACATGTGATGTACAGCGACAGTATGTTAAATTTCCTAGTCAACAGGGATCTATACAAAACAATTTGTGGCAAAAGGAAACAGATGCAGTTCTGTCTGCAACTTCACACATCTGCTCTGCAAGCCAGCGCTCTGCCTATAATTCTTTAGGAGGTATCCAATAAAAATGATATAAAATTTTATTGTGTTGCTGGCACTAGTTATTAGAGTGAGGAGCCAGAAAGCTTACCCAGGGACTGAACTTTTCCCATCTTTCAGTGCAGGGTAAATGATGAGGCTGTCACTGGTACCAGTGATACTACAGTGTGAAAACAGGTAGAAATCCTTTTGGACCATTGAGCATGCTGGAGTGGGGAGGGTAAAAACCAGAGTGGCAAAGCTTAGAGATGAGTAATAGGGAGGGAGGGAAATGAAATGCTGAAATGGTATTTAAAAATAAAATTAAAAAGGAACCCCCAGAAGTTATAGAAGAAATCTGTAGGATGTATCTGCCTCTGCTCTATTCTTTATTGCTATCAATTATAATTTTCCACACTTTTATTCTGAATTTCAATGGCTGTGAAGGGAAGTGAAGCAGAGTGGAATGAGGTAAAATAAATAATGCCAGCTTCCATTCTGGATCAGAACATCTACAGAAGGGTTGGAATGAAACCAAACTGACCTCCCTTAAAATCAAAGCTATGTCTTTTTGGATTAAACCACATAAATTCCCCTTTGTGGGCAGGCCCAGCGCAGGACTCTGAGCTACCCTTAGACTGGCTCTGGCATGTGTGGAGGAATGTGAGGTGTTTCCCAGTGTAACAAGGATGCTGGGCTTGAGAGGCTGTTTCTGTTCCAATTTTTTTCTTGTGATGGTCTAAATTACAAAACCCCTGATTCAAGGGGGTGTTTATAAAGCCACTTCTTCGGGACATGGCTGCGCTGCACTTACCCGGGTGCCCCAGGTCAGAGAGCTAAATCTCCTCATGCTCCTCTGGGGCCCTGGCGTTCCCACCACAGCCTGAGGCTGCATCTTCTCCATAGGACTGCCATGGCCTCAGCCCAGGAGGAGGGTTTTGCCAGTTCTCTGAGGTGTTTTGCCTCCTGCGGTTGCCCCTGGGGTATTGGAGCTGGCAGTGGGAATGAAGCAGGGACTGCAGAGGCAGGGAAGGGGGAGCCGCCATGTCCTGAGGGGCCGCTGGCTCCCCTCCCCTCACGCCTCCTCATGGTGCCTCGCCCTCTCCAGAGTCTTCACCACCTGTTTGCGTTGTACCCTCATGTGCTAAAATAGCAGGTTTTGCTATTTTTGTGTGCTGTGGGTTTTCCTAGTGTTCAATAACTAAGAAATCCCAGGTGACAGCTCATGCTTTTACTGAGGTGTTGGGTGCGGCAGTCTGGGAGTGACCGGAGTTATTCTGTCTCCCTGCTTTCCCAGGGTGATCACAGCGCTGAGGTGCTCAATAAAACTTCTTGCACAGCCTAAGAACAGGCCTTAACCATTTCTCTGATTATGTTATTTTTATTAGCAGGGTCCTTTATCTGCCAAAAAGGAAGTTCAAAGTGCTGGCGGAACAACCCCTCTCACCCCAGTGAGGACACTGAAGCGAGAGCAACTCGTTCGCCTTTCTGGTCACGTACCCTCCATGAAATGTAAATAAATACTAGGCTGTGAAGCTTTTGCAGAATACAATGTTATTTAGAAACTGGAAGACTCTTGCCAGGTAAAACAATGGGCAGATTTATTTTTTTTTTCTCTAGCAACAAAACACTTAATTCCTTCAAGTTTGTTAAAGCCTTGTGAATATGTATTAGGGACAGAAAAACCAGTGTACCTTATGTTTAAGCTAGTTTAGTTTATTGGATTATGATAAACATATTCAGATACTAGAAATCCTATAAAAATTAGAATTTATTTCCCTCTTGAAGATTATAGCATTTGCAAATAAATCTCCTTTAAAATATAACAGAAGTTAAACTTAAATCCAGAAACAAAGTTTTAAAAAATCCTTCCGAAGGGCATGTCCGAATACAACCTTTCAGGACTTTAACCTGTAGTGATTTAATGTTTTTCACATAAAAGTTAATTTCTGTTTGCAGAGCCACACTGAAAGATTTCATCCTGGCTTACATTACTGAGTCGTTGCAGTGACCTGTGGGAAGTGTAGTTCCTCTGCAGGCTGATGTGTTTTGCCAGAGAATTGCATGTTACCACTTTAATGATGCTAATATTCTGACTTTATCTCACAAACCAAATATTGCAGTACCAGTTTACTTAACCTAAGGCAAAAATATTTTGATCTCACTTCCTAGATGAAATCTAAATGTTTTTGAAAGAGCAGAGCTTTTCATTCCAAGAATCTCTTTTCCAGCATAAGTATATTTCAGTGGAACACTCTGGAACCATTACAACTTCCAGACACAATTTCAAAAAGCACAATCTTTTACAACCTCGCTTTCTAGATAAGACCAAACCTTTCTGCTTGTCTTTTCTGAATAAACAAACCCTTACTTAGAGTTGAAATGAAGAAAACAAACTTTTCAACATTGATCTTTAACTGGACAGTTAGAAAACGTTTGAGGAAGTGTTTTGCCAGGTAAACACATTCTTGATTATTTTAGGATAAAATGAGTCAGGAGGATAACTAGGCAAATAAAATGGGTCAATATTTAAGGACAGTTTTATGAGTTCTACACAACTACACAGGAAAAGCCAGTGGCAATGAGATTATGGTGGCAAATATGCTTAACAAATGTGATGTTTCTGATGCTGTTGACCCATTTCCTTATCCCAGTTGAGCCTGGGATATTGATCTGGCAGGCTGTGGAACTCCTCAACTCTTCTGTCATGCTGTATGGATCTTATCTGATTCAAACACCACATATTTATTATGATGACAACTTTTACAGTATGGTTTTTCTGAATCTAGCTCTATGTCACTACTATAAATGTAACAAGTTTATGACAACATACAATTGACTATACTTTTTTTTTTTTTGGTATTTTGACTCATTATGGTGTAGCCTGGTAAAGTTTGTAGTATTCAAGGGCAGTCTTTGACTTATTTTACAGGTGCTTCTTAAAATGACTGAGCTGCTGTTAAATAATTTAATTAATAAAGACTTTAACAGAAGCCTGTGAAAGCACAAAAACCCACAAAGGGTTCACACTGCAAAACAGGGAGTTTTGCTTCCTTGACAATAGTCTTTGCTCATGTAGCCTTTGTATCATCAGTAGCAGATATTAAGCCTTGGTGGAGCAGGCCACTTTTAGCCTTACCTCTTAATTTGCAGTACAGACTTTAGTGTTATTTGCTTAGAATGATACTCTAAAATCAGAATGTAATTTTAATGTGTTTAGTCATGAGACTTCACCTTTTAGCCTTATTTCATAAGACAAATGATATTTTTAAACCAAAATAATTAAAATTTAAATTCAGTCTTTCTGTGTATAAACAACTAAGTCAAAACTTTTCTCAGCATACTGCACAATAAAGATAAACTGCTGGCATGGCCCCTGGAAATGAGCTGTCTTGACCAGCTACCTCAAGAAACACAGAACTTACATTAGAATGACAGAGTAAGGGGCTGAATTCCTTACTGCTTAAGGTTTTGAGACATAAAGCAAAACAAAAAAGGGGCCATTGTAGTCTTAAGTGTTTAAACTTTTTACTTCAGCTCAACATTTCAGACATCTCCTGTGTTAGCAACACGGTGGCCTGAAACTGGGTCTTGGCCTGCGCTGACAAAGGGTCTATTTGCTAATGGCTGGGGATGATCCAGCTGGGCATTTGGATGCCCTCAGCACACCAGGGTGCACAGCTTATTGAGAAACCTGGAACAGATCTTTGGAAGGCTACAGATTCAGATAAACCCAACGGGCATGAATTTCCAGTAGCATCAACTTCTGCAACCCTGTTTAAGTGGGAATAACTGAGTCCACAGATTTATACGAGGTGATGATTGTTTATTTTTACTTTGTCTTAAAAATTAAGGTGGAAAATTAGGTTAATAATTCTGAACAGGTCATTTTTTCCCCTTCAGCTCCCTTTCATTCATTCCTGGCTGAGCAAATGTTTTCCTTGATTAAAGGACTGCATACAGTGTCAGAACAAAATGCACTTTTTGCATATTTGCTTATTCTCTGAAGCTGAAATCAGTCTTGTGTTGGTTTTCTGGTATTTTTCATGGTTCAAAGACGCCCTCAGAAATACCTGAAAGGGGTGTCTTGCAGAAATTCAGTTAGCAGAAAGCAATGTAATGAACAAGCTTGTTTTGGAAACCACAAAGTGCTATCATCCGTAAGAATAATCCTGAATAAACTCTCTGATCGCCTGAAGCCCTGCCTGTTCTTTGTGGACTTGTGGGTAATTGCCACGGTGAAGAACATGCATATATTAAATTAAAGGTATGATTTTTAAATTTTTTTTTTCACTTAGTTAAATGCATTAAATCCCATACTTGCTTCACTTAATGTCAGCATAAGGCTCCAGGCATCCTTGTAATGTAATAACCAATGGATTCATACACATGGTTGTTCTGTGGCAGGTGACAGCACAGCTTTGCATTAATGTGAGGTTTTATTAATAACACTAATATATTCAGTTGTAGGGACAGTGCATCTTGCAAAAAGGTTATTATTTTTGATTTGTGTAATCTGGCTGTATTTTATACTTCATTGACTAATGCCACATTTGGAAACAGCCAACCATGGGTGTGTCACATGCAAAAACAAACATCTTGCTCGACAGCGTTAAGTTTAACACTTGCTTTCCTCTGCTCAGGTTCTGAGCCATGGCTGCTATGACAAGACAGATTAATAACCCTGGGATTAGCAGCAAATATATTGGGGGGGCGGGTGCTGCAGAGGGTATGACTGATCTTTAGGAGATGACAAAATAAACTTATTTATGCTTCAAGAGAAGTAAATCAACGTCATAGGCCAGCAAAACTTTCCATCCTATTTCACAGAACCATGCTCTATTCAGCACCTTAAATTGTATTATCTATAACATAAGGTCATAATGCAGGAGTCTGGTGGCTTATGTGAACTGCAAATCACTGCCCTGGTAAAAGACCTTTTCAAGAGACACCATAAAAGTCCCCCAAACTGAGAGAAGACCCAGAGAAATGCTTCTAAATACAGAGCAGCTCCTATCACAAGACAGCTGGCTGAGAATAAATAGTTTACAATTGTAAATCAGTGGTTATTTCTAGGTGATATTTCTCATTGTATTATGCAGTCACTATGAGATAGAGAGCATTAATTCCCAGAATATTTATACATTATTGTTTTACACAAAGTACACTACAGACAATAAGAAGAGTTTTCAAAAGCAGCAGACTGGCCCAAGCTAAGACAGCTCATGATCAGAGGCCTTTTTGGGGAGATTTTGAAAAAACACAGCCAAAGGGTTTGAGTTTGTTTTGTTACAGGAGCAGGCAGGAGCAGGGACCTGCTGGGGTGTGCAAGAGGTGTCTCCTGAAACCTTTACTGGAGGTGGCCATGGTGGCTGCCTGGTTCTGGTTCCAGGGTGTCCTGCCCTGCCAAGGATTGCAGCTTCTGGTCCCCTTCTGTGACCTGGAGACAACCCTAGGCCTTCCCTCCCTGCAGCTGATCCATCTGTCTCTGGATTCAGTTCCCAGTCAGCACAACTATGTGCCTCTGTGGTTGTTAGTGTCCACCAGGATGGACAGGGAGGAACCCAGAGAGACTGAGGGGCATTTTGAGTGGCACACTGGAGAATGAGACACAAGTGGCTGGTGCTTCTGGGGGTGTGTAGTTTCGAGACAGGACATTTGGTTCCTACAAACCATTTGCCAACTGTTTCTTATAAATCCCCTATCAAAAATAGTAAGATCTGTCAAAGTTCCCTGGGATTTATAACAGCCTAATAAGCATAATAAATGACTGTATTAACAGAGGGAGAACATGCATGGTGTGATTAATAGATTTTTCTCAAAGTCATAGATAAAAATGAACAGCAGAGGAAAGGAAAACCTTCATATTAACTCTGTGGGAGCTCTTGTATTAATTGGCACATAATCAGGTACAGCTGCTAATAATCAGGCAGCTCTTTAAACCAACACACACAGAGTACTGCCAATGCAGCCTGAAGAGCTAGAGATTAGAGAATATACAAATATTCCTTGAAACTGGGGTTGCTTGATCAAAGTCATGTTTTCTTATAAGCTTATGGATCCCTGGGTTCTGTGACACTGTGGGATTCCCTCATGTCGGAAACCATCTCTTCTCTCTCCTCCTCTACCTGCAGGTCATTGAAAAGTATCTGTCGGAATATACTTTTTTTTCTGTGTCCTATATCTTGGTAACACCAGTCTTCAGAGCATTCAGTCTTCATGATGGGACATTCTGCAGATTCTTTGTGGGATCTTCTTTTACTGGATATCGTTGTCCTCTGGAGAAACTACACACCTCAGAGCCACCACTGGGCCACACAAAGGCAGACAAGTTCAAATAAGAACATAAACTCAAGAAAGCAAATTGATTGTGTAGCAACAAAGGATTGAGCTCTTGATTACTCCGTTAGAACCGCTTACAGGCACAGCAAAAGAGATCCCCAAACATTTCAGAAACCTACAGTGACTCTAACAACAACCTCTTGTTCTAGCCGTCATTTGGGGTTTTTCCTCTCAGCTATCAAAGTCAAGGGGC